CTGATTTTATCTCTATTTATGCTTGAATTGTTCCTTTTGCCTGGAGGTAATGGCCTCCCCTCAACCCCTTACCAGTGTTACTGCCTTGTGGAAATATAACTAACCTTTCCAAGCTATGACTGTTTTGCTACGAAACTGTGAGTTCCATAACAGGTACAGGTGTCTGATTTGTTCCCAGCACAACCCCTGGACTCTAGGGGGCGCTCTTGGTTACACATCTCCATCTGTTCTAGGCTGCAAGCTTCTTGCAGTAAGTAGTGCTTCTTATTCTTGTGTTGATCTCATGGTCCCAGGGTCTGTGATGGGCAACACTTGGACTTGGCTTCAGGAACTTTTTAGTAATCAAATGAATGAATGTGTCGGGTTGTGCTATTAGAGGCCTGAACATGAAGTGGCCAGCATGGATGAAGCCTTGCTTGTCTTTCCTGTCCTGTGCAATGTGGAGTTCCCCCACTTCCTCTTTCCCCAGCAGTAATCATCTCCTACTTCATATCATCCCCTGGGCAGAGTCTGGATTTCCCCTGGAGGATGCACCCCTCCCATCCTTTCCCTCCAAACCCTCTGATGAGAAAGCTGCTCAGCCGGCCACATTTATGGCTGCTAGTGTCAGGGGACAGGGTTGCTCTCCTTCCCGTTTAGAAGTAACTTTGCTATGTGTTATGGTCAATTTTTGGTAAGTTAAAGGATGCCCGGACATCTAGTAAACCGTTATTTCTGGGTGTGTCAGGGTGTTTCCAGATTGTTATTTGACTCAGTAGACTGAGTAAAAAAGGGTCTTGCTATGTAGTTCAGGGTGGCATTGAGCTATGTAGCCCAGGCTGGCCTCAAACTCTTGCAACCGTCCTGCCTCAGCTTCCTAAGAGTTGGGATTACTGGCATGCACCACCATGCCTGGATGGCCCTCCCCTTTTGGGTGGTCATCATTGATTCTGAGGGCTCTAATAGTTGAAAAAGAAGAGGAAGGCTAAATCCATTTTTGTCTGAGCTGGGCCACCCATCTTCTCCAGCCCTTGGTCTTTCAGACTCCTGAATCTCAGGCTTTTAGGCTCAGGTTGGGGTCTGTACTGTTGCTACCCTCTGCCCTCCTCAGGCTTTTGGATTTGGCTGTATTATACCACAGGCGATCCTGGGTCTTTAGCTTGCAGATGGCAGATTGTAGAACTCCTTGGCCTCTGTCATCCTATGAACTATTTCTATTCTCTCTCTCTCTCTCTCTCTCTCTCTATATATATATATATATATATATATATATATATATATGATCTCTTATTAGTTCAGTTTCTCTAGAGAACCCTATTAGAGGTTCAGTAGGACACCAGGAATTCCTAGGCTATTCCCTGTCACTACCTGCCTCCCTACTGTACCTGACACTTCTATGATTTCCAGACAGCCCCTTCCTTTCATGAAAGTGGTGACCCCTGACTCAAACCTGCCTTTACTCCAAGTGTTGCTGCCATCCTGGAGGCTCCAAAGCTCACAGAGATCAGGGTTAACAATCTGGGGACCAAGCATTGAATCTAGACTGTTGGTATGTTTTGTTTGATCAAAATCATGTTTTTTAATTTTTATATTTGTTTTGTGACAGGGTCTCACTATGTATCTCAGGCTGGCTTTGAACTCACTGTGTAGCCCAGGCTGACATCAAACTTACAGTGATCTTCCTGCCTCCTGAGTATTGGGATTACAGGCCCACATCAATACACCCAGCACCAGATTCACATATCATGAAAGCCCCAGCAGAGGAGGGACCCTGGGATCCTCTGGTCTTTAGGGTCTTTTCACATCCTGGTGTTCTGCCTGAGACCTCACTCCTTGCGCTCACTTTAGCAATACATATACTAAACTATTAAGACCTCATTCCTCTGTCCACACCTGTTCTTGTGTCACTAGGAGCTGTGCTGATTTTGACTCACCAGTTGACCAAAGGTGCCTTCCTTTGCTTTCACTTCTTGCTTTTTATAGTCCTCCTCCTCTTCTCCTCTCCTTCTTTGGCAGTACTAGTTGACTGAACCTTGGGCTACATCTCTGGCCCCCTTTTTTTTGAGACAGGATCCTGATAAGTAGCTAAACTGCCCAAGCGGGGCTCAAGCTTCCCAATTTTTTGCCTCAGCCTTCAGAGTATTGGGATTATGGGCATGGGCCACCATACCCAGCTTTGTTCTGTTCTTGTCCTCACAGAGGCTGGGCCCTGGAACTTTCACTGTGCCCTCTACTTTCTCCTAGACTGCTTTTCTTCACTATTTTCTTGCCCTCACCTTACCAGCTCCTTCAAAAGTTGCCCCTAATCATAAATTCTGAGATCTGTCTCTAGTAGGATCATCCTAAAAATCAAAGTTAATTATTTACTTTCCTACAAACCTTGAGATTCTCCATAAGCCAGTGGACTGTGACACTAAGGATGAAGATCTGCTGCTGGAAGGCCTGCGTGCTACACCTTGTGCAGGCCTTCTCAGCCTCCTCTCCTTGCCTGTCCCCCACCAGCTCAATGAGCCTCCTTGTTGAACTTTGGGTTTTAGCCACACCCCCTCCATGAACCTGCACCCCTGTAACAGCTGTTTCCCTTGCTTATTCGCTCAATGGATAACTCAGATTTTTACTTTAAAATCCAGTTATTTCTATGAGTAGATATATCTTCATGTCAAGGCTCAGAGCAAGGCCAGCAAGGATGTACCACAAACAGACAAACAGTTGTTATCTCTGTGGAGGACCTGAGGCAATCAGGACAGAGGGAGAGCGTTGGTCAAAGGGTATTTTAGCCTTATCTGTAAAGTTACTACTTTATTTTTTTGCCATATTGCAGATCAAACTCAAGGCCTTGTGTATGCTAGATAAGCACTCTACCACTGAGATACACCACCTAGTCCCTCTGTTTTTTACAATATCATATTGTATATTACTTGTGAGACAGAAAAACAAATGTTCAATACCAGAAAGCCCTCCCTAGACCTCCCAGGCAGATGGAGATATCTCCTTTTCTGGGATCAAATAAAACTGTGTTCTGTGATCTAGGAAATATTGGTTTATTGTGACTTGTTTGTGCCTATTTTTCTTCAAGATAGGAAAGTCTCTCAAAAGTATGATCTTTAATTCATGCTCCTCCTAAAGAGTCTTGTGCAAACTGGTGTTCAAGGAGTGCCAAATTCAATAAAGTGCCTTCACTAGTGGCCCCTACCAAAGTGTTCAAATGGGGTGGGCTTGACACTAGTCCTCAGAGACTAGTTTATAGTCATTTTCAGTGTTCAAAGAATAATGTCTCTATAAGTCTGAAATGTCTCTAGACCACTTGGTTTTGCTTACCTGAGGGTAGGGCTATTTTGGGGGCCTGCAAGGTCAGGATCCAGTGGAGTGCCATTCTCTTGTCCCTTGTCCCTTGTGGCACACTTCTGAAGCCACCGCGGCCTTAGCTGATGCTTGAAGACAAGTGATACAGCCCCAAACTTGTCAAACCCAGTCCTGACCTCTATTTCTAAGATGGAGAGGCCTGTCCAAACAGTCTGTCCCCAAAGGAAGTGGGCCAGGGAAGCAGGAATTAGGTGACAGTCAGACCAGCTCTGTGTGTTCCAGGATTGGAGGAAGGAGCTAAATTGCTGAGAGGCTTGAATAAGGCAGCTAGAATTCCAGTTTAATGGTGGGAGTCTGTAGTTTTTGGAATTTTAGGTTAGTATATATTTGCAATATACAATACATTCATCTTGGGGAATTGGTAGATATATATACAACATCTTAATCATTTTTTAAGAGTAGGAAAATTTATTAGGGGAATGAGAATAGCTCCTGAGAAATAGGAGGGGTCCCAAATGAGCCAATGAGCCCACTTCTCAAAGGAAGTTTCATACAACAAAATCATGAAGTGAGTACAAGATGGATCAAAACTATAATCAGCCTCAATAAAATTACAAGTATAGCTGTTTGGCTAATATTGATCCAACAGTAGCAAGGATATACAGATGACATCATTAACAATGGGTGAAAATGGATGGGAGAAGATGGCCCACCCCTAATAAGATAATGATTTATTTATAAAATGGAAAATCTCAAGAGTGGTGCCAATAATCTCAAGCTTCCATTTATCCTGTAGGGAAGTATGCAAATGTGGCCACTGTGACTTTACATCTTCTTCAGAGGCACCTCCAGCATGTTCATCATTTTTACTTCCTCTTCTCCCCATCCTCAGCTTCCCTTCCTATCTCCATAAAGTCTACCTGTTTCCTGTTTACCTTCTACTTTACTTTATTTATATTTTGTACTTCATATGTAAGAGAAACCAAGTGATATTTAACCTGTGTCTGATTTATTTCACTTAGCAGTATGGTCTTACGGTGCATCCATTTTCCTACAATGACTTGTTTATCCCTTTTTTGGCAGAGTAGCAATTTTTGAGCTCCCAGGTGATACAACCTTTGGATTTATCTATTGTTCATAGGCAAAAGTGTAAGCAACGGCCTTATTGGACAAATTGGACTGGTGCTTACTTTTTATTTATGGCAGAGACTCACTATGTAGCCTCCTGCCTCTAACTTTCAGGGATCCTCCTGCCTCAGTTTCCCTAGGACTGTGATTACAGGTATGTGCCATCACATCTGGCAGGGTCTGGTGCCTTTTGGAATTAGTGAAGTGCCTTTTGGAATTAATGCCACTTTAGCCAGGGATGTGCCTTTGGGCTTTATGTACCAGTGATGAGGAGGTGACAGAAAGGTTTCAATCAGTTTGTCTTTTAAGAATGCCCCAACCAGACCCTGTATATTCAAGGGTTCCTGGGGCCTCAGCACAATGAAGGCAGGTTACTGGACTTTTCAAGAAATTAAGGTTAGTGGCAGTGGCAGCAGGAATTTGGAGAACAGTACCCCCCCTCCCCGCACTCTTCCCTACTCCTCTATTCCATCAAGCTCTGTCACAGCTAACTGCCGGCAATCCCACTATGGGCCTTTCAACTGTTGGAAGGATATCAGACTGCAGTGCACACCTTTAGGCCTCCATGAAGAACACCTCCAGTCATCCTGTCTCTTTGCAAGTAACGTTTATTTTTATTTACAACAGAATTGGTGGCTTTATTCCTTCATCTTTAGGGATACTTGGCATCAGCAGCTAGAGGGAAAGTCCGCAGTGAAGTCAAACTCATTCTGCCCCAGCCACAGCTCTGGAAGCTCTTTAGCCCGGTCCAGTCCCAGTTCCACCACCAGCGACATCAGCACTTCCTCATCCACTGGGTCTGAATCGATTATAGCAGGGCTCTGGGCACCAGTAGGAGAAACGGTCCCCAATCCTCCCACCTGTGCCCCAAAGCCCCAGTTTTGCAGGGGCCCGGCCTCCCCAGATTGGCTGGGAGTGGCAGCAGCCATCCCATGATACTGACTATTAAGTTTCTGCAGCTGCATACTGGCCAGCAGGTGAGGGGCAGGGTGCAGGTTGAAGGGTGGGGGTTTAGTGGGAGGGGTGGCAGTAGGAGAGCTTATTGGAGATGGAGAGCCTGAGGAGCTAGTGGAAACCCCACTGGCCTTGGTTCCGTTTGCTGCCACCCCAGGGTAGTGTAGAATGGCCACTGCTTTTCGATCTTTTACCCCTAGGTTAGAGTAGGCCAAAGCATTCATCTCTTGATTGGCATCCTAGAAGACAGAAAAAGGTACACCATAGGACCCTTGTTCCTGGCTTGTCCTCACCATTCATCAGATCTAGAAGGCTCCTTCATGTACTTAATTTGGTACTAGAGGTGGGGAGGCAGCACAATGAGCCTCTGGAAAGTTAGGCCCTCTTCCCAAGAATCTGAGCAGAGATTAGACCCTAATTCTAGTGGTGGGGCACTCATCATCCTTGGTTGACAGCTTTCTTCTCCCCACTTTTCAAAAAAGGGTTTCCCCTTGTCCATCTCTTCAGCCTCACTTTATCTCTTTAATATGGTGATCTTATTCTATTTTTGCTTCTTTCCCCACAACTTTCAACACCCATGGTGGGTTCAATATGATCATACACAGGCAAAAACTATTCTCATTCTCACCAGAGAAAGCCTTGCTGTCTTCTGTCTGCCAAGGACACTAGCTAGCTATCACAGCTAGGGAGGGGGGACCTGGCCCATGATCTTCCAATAGGTTTTTCCTGCCTCTGTTTCAATCTGCAAAATGGCAAAACTCACCTCCTTCACCGGGGAGGTGCCGCCCTTGACATCCAGTGCAGGCCTCGACATAGTTGGCATTTCAGAGCCTTGGCAGAAGGTGACACTGCCAGCTAGAGCTGTTGTGCTGTGAGAGAGAAAAAAACGGTAAGGGCAAAAGGCTTCATTGACCAAGAAGGTATTTGTGAAGCAGGGCAGCACCACACAGCTGTGAGGCAAGAGGGATGACAGGGTTAACCCTAAGACCAGAGGCTGCCTGGGCTAAGGAAAGAGACTACGCTGAAATTTTAGCTGAGGCTGCACCTTGCATGATTCAACCAGATAGCCAGCTACCTGCACTGTCAGACTGTTCTTCATGAACGTAATTTACATGCTTTCTAAGTTCTAAATTGTGGCTGGGGGCAGGGGTTGAGGATGGCATGTGTGGGTTTGGAGGGCAGGAAGGTCCCTGAGTAAGCAGGATACTGTGTCAGTGGACCACTAGTGTTCCAATTGCAGTACTGTGACTGCGGGAATGTAGGAAGCATTCAGGGCAAGCAAGATCTCAAGAGCTGAAGGCCGCAGCATGGGAAAGCAAGTGCACAAAGCAAGTATCATGGGCTCAAAAGCCCTTTTCTGGGCATGTCTTTGAGATGCTGGGCCAGTCAGGGTGGTTTGGGGGCTCTGAGGCAGCAGGAGCCAGAGAACAGCTAGTAATATCTTGTTTCCATGTCTCAAGCCCCGTCCAAAACAGTCCCCAACATTAGGCTTCCCCAGGAGCCCTGAGCCTTGCTGCACTCATCTATAGTGACAGGTGGGAATAACTCTTCCTAGAGGGAAACTGAGGCATGGAGATTCAATGCCGGCCTTAGAGTCAGGAGGCAGTGATTCTGGGAGCAGAATCTAGCACTCCTGTGACCATGTGCCTCACTTGACCACTGGCCAAGTCCTCATACCTGGAATGACTCAGATGCCTTCCAAACAAATCATTCTTTGGCTCAAATACTGAAAAGATAAGATGAGGGCAAAAAGATACTTCCACGCTAGAAAATTTTACAAACTTCTGAATTTTCTCAAGTTAAATTTCCTACAAGCTTTTTAAAAAAGCCCCATGTATTCTAGCCCTTACAGTCAATTAGAGATTTAGAATTCTGCACTTATAAATACATCTTGATCCAAAGAATCCTGAGGAGGTTAAAAGGAGTCTTTAATCTTTCCAAAGAGTGTAGAATTCCCTGAGACAGTATCCTTTGCTCCACCTTCGGCCTGAGAGGTCATTAGGACTCTGCTCAGGCGCTTCTAGAAAGTGGCCACTTACTACCTCTCTGTATCATCTTTGCATTGACCACTTAGTTGTGGCTGGGGGTGGGGTGGGCAAGGAAAATAAAGGGAGAAAACATGAAGGGAAAAAATCAGTTGCTGGGTCCCGCATCACTGTTGGACTGGAGCCTTGCTCCTTTTGTGAGGCAACCCTAAGATATTTCAAGCCAGTGACTAAAAGACAAGGACTGTAATGCATGCTCTCTTCAAAAACCAACGCACATTCATTATCAGGCAAATTTTAGGTCTGAAGAAAAGTACCTGCGGGGCTCTGCTCATCTTTCCCTTCCTATCCAGCCTTCCTCTTTCCCTTTATGCTGCCTGGTACCCAATGTACAAAAGGGGGAAAAAAAACCCCACAACAGCAACGTTGGGGGGGAGTGGACGCGAGAAAAAAGTATCTTTTGCATCTATTGTCAGTTCGCTGAAGACGGTTTTATCGCCTACCCCTTCAGACCAGGAACTCCCTGAGGCAAATACGGGACCCTGCATCTCCATTCAGATCTGTCGCCTGTGGTCAATACCTCGATGCAAGCTCCCTCTGTTGAGTGTTGCTCAATCCATCCAGGCAATCCAATTCCGACCAGAACCCTCGGCCCTGCTCCCTCTAGTTTGTCCTCCCCCCATCGAAGGACTCTCAACTTGGCGACGCGAGAGCTTCCCAGCCCGCTGTCCAACCCGAGAGCTGACCTTTGCGAGGCAGCTGCCAGAGGCGGCTGCAAAACATAGAGCAACAAGTGCCTCCTCACCGCCTGGCTCTCCGTGGCCGCCGACTCCCGTCCCACCGCCTGCCCTCCGCGTCAGACCTGGCCCGGGGAGTGCGGCCCCTTTGGTGTAGACGCAGGAGAGGGCGAGGAAGAGGAGGGCCAGGTGTGTGTGGGTGGGGGGTGGGGGGTCCACTCATCTTTAACCTGTAAGTGGACCAAAAGTTAAAACGGCACCAACCAGACAGTTCCATCTCGATTGCTATTTTTCTCTGAGGAGAAATTTAAGAATTCGCCTTTAAACCAGACCAGTCGGTTTTGTCACCTGAAAACTAAAGGCCTGTCCTTCCCAGGGAGCTCCTTCACAGGGAGCTCCGTGTCCCCTTCGCCACATTCCTGGCAGAGCCAGGGCGGCCGGGCGCATCCCGGCACAGTGGGCGCGAGTACGCAGGCCACGAGGGCCCAGGGGTCAGCGGTACCCACACTTCAGGTAGTGGAGCCCAGAGTCGAGACGGGTGGCCAAGGAGGGCCGCGGGGGCTCGGTCTCAAGACGCTCCACGAGTGGCCACTGACACAGTCTACCAACTGCGGTCAGTGCGATCCGCCTGCCGCCCGTCGAAGCGCCAGAGGGTCTCGAAGAGGTGCTGCAAGTCGCCCAAGGTCACAGCGCTGGAAAGTTGCGGAGCCCAGGGTCGCGGCTTGGGCTGTGGGAGTCCCAGTCCCGCGCTCGCGAGGCAAGGACTCTGTGCTCGAACCCCTCCGCGTCTGCGGAGAGAGGTGTGCGGACGCGTGGGACGTGTGTGCGAGGGACCCGAGGTCGCTTGTATAGTGGCGGCAAGTTGCCCACATTCGCTAACTTCCTTCCCAACTCGGCCGGAGAAGCCCCTCTCTCTTCCAGTCCCCGAAAGCCAGCCAAGCCTTGTGCAGCTCCCAACCAGAGCTTCCTGACGTGGGCCGGACGAGGGGTGAAGTCGGCGCCGAGCCCGAGAAAGCGCGGGCGCGGGGGAAGAGACGCTGCGGTCCCCCAGTAGAAGCGGGCGCTCAGTCCCGCGGGCCGGCGGCAGGCGCGCGAGCGGAGGCAAAGGTTCCTCCGCTCCCCACAGAGCAGCCTTGCCACGGAAAACAAGTCCCTCGGAGTCCCCGGGCCCGCCCGCCGCCCGCCGCCCGCCGCCGCCCTCCCGCGCTCCGCGGGAGTGCTCGGCCCCGCCGCCCACCTCAGCACCCCATCTGGCGGCCCGGCTTACCTCGGAAAGCCGCCTACGCTGGAGAGCGGGGAGAGCGGCAGCCGGCAGGACAGGGCAAAGCGGCACAGCCCCAGGCCCCTCGGCACGCACGCACCCCGCCGCCGCGAGCCGGTCGCGCTCTGTGCCCGCGGCCGCGCGGGTGGCCGCTCGACCCCAGGGCGCCTGGTAAAAGCCAACACCGCCGCGCCGCACCGCGCCGCGCCTGGCAGCTCCGGCCCGCGCCTGCTCTCCCGCAGCTACACCACAGACTTCTGGGCGGTGGCGGCGATAGCTACCGCGCTCTCTACGCTGCGCGAGGGACCCAGATCTCAAGCCCCCATCGCCGCTTGGAGAGCCCTGACGCATACGTACACACGGCAGCAGGCTGGCCTATGCTAGGAATCCCAAGAAGGAGAGACCCTCCTCCTCCTTTTTTTACGTCTCCCACCCCCCCCCCCAATTTCCACGTTTTTATAACCGGTTTAGGGCATTATTAGCACATGCCCTGGCTCGTGGGCGAGTTGGTGGCAAAATCTGAACTGGATACTCACGGAGGGCCCGAGGGGGTGTCGTGCCTTTCTTTGCTCTCTTTCCCTTCGCCAGGAATGTCCCCTTGCTGAAGAGCTGTGGGAGGACAGCCCGGCGGGACAAGACTCCTCTCCTCAGCTCAGTCGTGCCCCTTCTGCAGCTGTGCCGCGGAGAACATTTTATAGCAGCGGCTGGCGTGTGTGGCCCTTTAAAGGCGCTCGAGCTGGTGCAGTCACCGCGGACCGTGTGAAAGCAAAGGGCCGGCTAGGGAACAGAGTCCGCACCGCCCCGCAGGGCCGGCAGTCTGGGGGACGGGCCACGGCTCCGAGGGTGGGGCTGGCGAGCCCAGCTTCTGGGCACCCGCTGCTCGTGCCCCTGCTCTTGCTCGCGCTCCAAACGCTGGCGGGGGGGGGGCCCGAGCCCGGGCCGTGGGCTCTCCCCACCGCCCTGCATGGACTTGCCCAATAAATTCCACTTAGTAATTTCACTGAAGCGAGGGAGAGCTGCTTGTGTCTGTTTTCTGACCTAAATCTAGCGGATGGCTGGAATGGGTACGAGGGTGTAAGGGGAGAGCTCAGACTCAGGAAACGACCCACAAGAGGGAAAGGCATGCGGGACAGGACGGGACGGTCGGGACACGGTTTTAGTTTTCTGCAGAACTAGCGTGGAGCTTTCTTGCGCTCTTTGGGGCTGCACCATCAACTTTGTTAAGGGCTGAAGCTGGAGTCAGGGGTCTTGTTTCCTAAAAATGGTCAGTTTTGGGCAGAGCCATGGGGAGGGCCCATAGAACAGCGGTGGCTTCCCTTAAAGGCCTGAGAAGGGGTTGGGTGGGGGTTTTCGTCCTGAGAAGATACCCAAGGACAGGAGGCTGCCAGGATGCTATGATGAGGAATGCTGCTTTGCCGGACCATGGGCCATGGGGACGGGCGCTGCTCTTGTGGTTGGTGGAAAAGCCAAGAACAGGCAGCAGGGCTCGAAAAGCTTACCCCAGGGTTTCCAGACATTTCTCCTGCCTTTCTACAATGCTAGGCTATTTTATGATTATATAATCATTTTCGTCTAGCAAAAACATTTTTGCATTTGGACTATCTCTTTCTTGGATCTTATCTTACAAATCCTTATTGGAAAGACATTCGGGTCTTTCATCTCAATTCGTGTTCTTCCTGGCAAAACAAAACAAACAAAAAAAATTCCCACCCCTCCTCTTACAGGAAGGCCACCAAGATTACCTCTGTAATCACCCCGCTTTGATTTTCTAGCGTTTCAGCAACAACTACACAGTACAATAGTACTACATACTATTGATAAAACACACTTTTATAAAAGTCCCAATGGCCGACTATGGTGGTGCAAGCCTGTAATCCCAGCACTTGGGAGACTGAAGTCAGCAAGGACTACATAGTGGGACCCTGTCTCAAAAACAAACAAAAAAACAATAAATAAATATCTGGGCATGGTGATGCATACCTATAATCCTAGCACTTGGGAGGCTGAGGCAGGAGCATTCACTGCCAGTTCAAGGCTAGCACAGGCTACATAATGAGTTCAAAGCCAGCCTGATCTACATAGTGGGACCCTGTTACACACATACTGAAAAGTAAAATATATTTAAAAGTTCCAGTATTAAGGAGAGGGGGAGTACTGTCAAGAAGTCATTTTTGCTATGTGTGTTCTCTCTTCTTAATTGGATTTGCAGATCTGGAGATCTTCTTCGTTTTTTTTTTTTTTTTTTTTTTTTTTTTTTTTTTAGTATCCCCAAGTTCTCTGCAGTTGCTCTTCTAACAATGTTGCTTGTTGACAAACTAACTGACCACCTTATTGACCAAGACAGGGAGAAAACAGAGGAACCAAAGAAGAGCCTTGCTTGGCATCTGGAGGAAGCCCCCGGTTAGTGCCTTGGACACTAGGTAAACCCATTGCTAGCCAAAAGCTGCCCATTGTGGCTCCATTTCACTTTCTCATCCACTTGGCCCCAACACAAATTCAGATAACAGTCATACCCTACAAAGCACTTTTTCACTTTTGATCAAAGATTGTGGGTTGCGGCTGTTTTCCTCTTGATAAAAAGCAGGATTTGTGGTTGAGATCCTAAATGCTTACAGTGTCTGCATGTGAAATGCAACTTCAAGCCCTCTTAGTGCTTGTCTGGTTTGGGAAAAAGTGTTTTTGTGGAAACCAATTGTTGAAGAAGGAGCACCTCTAGACTTTTGAATTATGTGTTGCTAATTTGGCCCACCACTCATTCTTCCCCTCCACTGGGTCAAGAGCCCTAATGGAAGGACTGGGCTGCAGGCTCCAGATCCAGGAGGTGCGGATCCGCCCTCCATCTATTGGATGGTTCCCAGGCCAATTGTTAGAAAGAGGCATATGTTGATCTCGGCTTCTGGAGTGTCTCCGGAGCAGTTGCTCAACACCCAGGCCCCTCCCCCATCCAGACCACTGAAGGGCAAAAAAGGAGCACCCTCAGTGCCTACAGGCCAGAAAGAGCCTCCCCACTGGTGGCTTCCTGTCGACTCCTTTGCCCACCTCCAGTGGTGCAGGAAAGAGAGGGGCTCTAAGCATTCAGAATCGAGCACAAAAGACACCTCTTTTCTTTTGGGAGAGAGGGTAGACATGGTTAGTTGCAGAGGCTGGAGAGGGAGCAAAGCAGACATTTGCGTCTCTCAGCAAATATGCCCTGGATCACTGACTTTGCAGTGGCTCCAACAGAGCTCAGAGCTCTCCAGCTGAACTCTTATCTCCAACTTGGCAACTAGACTCGGAGCTTGCGAAGCAAGAAGAGAACAGGGCTGGTCAACCAGCAGGAACCTTCTGTGCACCAACAATTGGTCTGGCGTGTTCCCATTCATCATCTCATTTCATTCCCAAGACAGACTTGTGAGATCAGGTTACCAAAGATGAGACAATCTATGAGAAATGCCAGAGTTCACGCAGTCAGGAGGCCAGGTATTGAATCCAGATCAGACTGGCTGCAGAGTTTACCCAATAACTCCACACCCCGCTGTTTGGGAGGATTAAGGAGCTTGCAGGTTCAGGGTTCGGTGACCTGGGTTTAAGTCTCTACTCAGCCATTTGCTGACTATGTGGTTTTGGCCAAGTGGCTCCATTTGGGGAGCCTCAATTTCCCCATGTATTAATTGGGAATCATGATACCTACTTTTTGAGGTTGTTGTAAGCATCAGAGAGAAAGGCTCAGCTTATTTGACCCCTACAGCATAGGAAATGGTGAATATGTGCTGATATTTTACTGTGTTTTCTGATTCCTTTACTTTTGGCCCCTATCCTTGCCTCAGCTCACACACTTCAGGTTCAATACTTGGTGATTGGGAAATTTAAAAGTCAGACTAAGAGGATGAAGCAGATCTAATAAACTCTGGAAGGGGAAGGAAAGGGAAATACAGATATGTTTTCAAAATCCCATCCTCTATAACTAAGGGC